AGTCTAGGATGCAGTTTGATGCAGTGTCCTACAGTAGAATGAATAAGCAGGCGATCATAAATCTCTCTCATTGATTCCTCAGGTCCCCAGAATAGAACTTCCTGATGATCAGTATTCGTCTAAATCACCCAAAGAACACGCCAGCTTTGCAAATCTGGCCCCATCCCCAGAGAGCCTGATTCAATTGTTCTGAAAGCAGGCCTGTGAAATATGTATTTTGACAAGTATAGTGAAAACAGAACAAAACAAAACAAAAAGGCCGACTCTGTTGCAAGGTACGTAAGGTCTGGATCTAGAGAAACATTGCCAAAATACAGATCAGAAGGCCTATTAAGTCATAGGGGAAGAACTGTTGAAGAAGACATTGGAATTATTGGGAAGAATGCTGGGATACCAAGATCGTTTTTATTGAAACTTAGGGTTATGTTTTCCAAACTCTTTAGATTAGGATCTATAAAAATTCTTGATTGCTTAGGGGTCCCACTTTTAATTAATTATCTCCAATGAATGTTGATATACAGGGTAGCTTTGCCTTCCGCAGATGCAACTTTTAATAACGAATCATAAATGATCACTTAATTGATTTACACATTTGCCGATGCAAACATTTGACCTGTGTTATCTTATGCGGCAGATATGTGTAGATGTTGTTTGGTAAAAGATTAAGTTTAGTGAACCATGAAGCGTATTTATTTCAACACAGGCTTTGCGGATGTGATGACTCTCATGAACTTACATAATCTTACGTTCCAAAAGAAAAAGTATCACCAAGTAAAATGGAATAGTTCATATGTTGAAATGCAATAATGTGAAGTGAATATATATGTGTACATATAATATATGTGTATTCATATATATATGAAAATGAGACTCCTAGGAGAAATGGATTGCAGAAGAAATAAGAGATGGCAGAAAATATCTCCACATTTATGAAGAGGGATAATTTTGACCTCAAAAGAAGAAGAAGTCAATCATATTTTTAAAGCTTTGATAGCGCAAAATGAACAGTTTGGGAGTAAAAAAAAAGTAGTTTTCTTTCCCAGAAAAAGGCTAGGTAAGCACTTGTGGGAAAATGCTACTATGCTTGTTATGGTGCTGGTCTATCTGTTCTATGCCTCATACTCAGAAAGATAAGTTCTAAGAGTATTTGGGAGGAGAGACATTATCTAAAATTAAATTATGCAGCTTTATTTCACCATAGAATCTTAAGGCACATATTTCTTCGATAGCAGTAGTTCTCAAAGCGGGTTCCCTGAAGCAGCAGCAGCAGCAGCAGTATTGCCTGGGAATTTGTTCTGAATGAGCCACAGTGGAGTAATGGTTAGGTGATGGGCAGCAATCAGTGATTCAAAACCACCAGTGGCTCTGAGGGAGAAAGACAAGGTTTTCTACTCCCTTAAAGAGTTACAGTCTAGGAAACCCACAGGGGCAGTTCTAACCTGTCCAAGCGGGACAGCTATGCGTCAGCATTGACTAGATGGCAGCGAGTTGGGGTCTTTTGGGGTGCATTCTCTAGCTTTACTCCAACCAGTGAAACTGAAATTCTAGGGCCAATCAAAATGACACTTACTTCCATTGAGGCATTCCAACTTATAGTGTCAGGATATAAGTCGACCGTAGAAGACAGGGTAGAGCTGCCATTGTGGGTTTCTGAGACTGTAACTCTTTAAGGAGTAGAAAGCCTCAGCTTTCTCCAGAAGTGGTTTCCAACTGCTGGCCTTGTGGGTAACAACCCAACTGGAACCTACTATGCCACCAAATCCATTGCCATCGAGTTAATAAGACTTGTTATGAGTTAAGAAGACCCATAGTGACCCTATCATTCTAGGCCAGGCCACATCAATTTAAACTTGATTAACCCTCCACTGATAGATCTTTGATGATTTAGCAGTAATATTGTCCAAAGAAACCAGCAACCATCCTAGAGAAGAAAACGTAATGACTATATGACAGAGACAAGAGCAATGGCCAAAGGACTGGAGGGATCCAGTGATGACTGCAGCAAAGGTCAGAAGGAAACCAGGGACCTTTGGAAGCAAACAAGTTGTAGCCACTTATGCTGAGACTCTATCTGGGGCAAGAGTGAGTTTTATAGTGATCACTCATGTATGATGATGACCAGCATCATCATCGATTGCAAGAGACTATCTGATCCTCCAACAATCATGCTAAGAGCTGGCATAGAATACTTTATTTAAGCCTTACACTTAAGACAGTGACAACAACACATACACACATAACCAAACTCACTGTTATCCAATCACTTTGGAATCAACAACAACAAAAACAACACACACACACACACAACCAATCTCCCTGTCCTCCAGTCACTTCTGACTGGCACAGACTCTCAGGACCTCTGGGTTTCCTGTACACCTTTTCTCCCTGGAAGCACCTAGTGGGGTCGAACTACTTAGCGTTCAGTTAGCAGCCTGTTGCCTAACCCGTTATGCATTGGATTTCCAGAAATCATGGAGGGGACTAAGACAGGCATTTCAAATTTTAAAGAGGCTTTGGTCTGGCGCTATGGCATTGGAAGAGACACCGATGAACAAGAGCATGGGAAATGATACACTACAGATTAAAACCAAGAGCAACCCTTGTATAGAGCTTTTGTCTGTGTTACAGTTGTGGCACTGAGCAGGCAGCAGCGTGGACACACAGTGTGAAGAGAAAACCTTAAACAAACTCCTGATATAACCACAACACTGAATGTCCCACGGAGTAGTTCATTCATCTGGTGCTAAAGACCAAATGTCCACATCCATGCAATTGTTAAAAAAAAGTCCCTCACCCTGACTTGCGTACAGAAAGAAGCAATCTTTTCTTTTTCCTTTAAAAGTAGATTATTTGAAATATTTTTTCTTTCAAAGGAATGTGATGAATAATAAATGACAATAATATGTTTAATAAGACATAGATGGGCAGAAAACCCTAAACTGGCTCAAAAGGCAGCCCGGGGAAGGGTCCTGCTCCTCTCTGAAGTGCCTTTATTTTTGGCCTTTTAAAAATAAAATTAATAAGACCTACTTAATAGTTATATATTTGAATTAAAGGAGACAGTGAATAAGTATTTCCTGGTATTTTGTAGGTTTGAACACATTCCTTAATGTCAAATTCAAGTTAATTTTATTTGCACTGACGCAGCAAGATGTTCATAGGGGTGATGTAATCCCAACCTAGCTCTCATCCTTTTGGGATGGTCATATTTGCATCTAAAAAGTATCAATATAATAAGAATAAAGGAAGGGGCTTTGGGAATTGGGTGTGAGTATCCAATTATACATTGGATAATCCTTAAAGTCATAGCAAAACACCTCCACTTCAGTGCAAAGTACTTTGAACTCAATTCCACATGTCTTTGGCTCCAAACAGCATGTAATTTCTATACTCTTGTGCAGGAAGCCTATGTGTAATGATTCTCGGTTGTCTTTTCTAGAAGGCAAGGATACTACGACTCAGATTGCTCCATTTTATTCAGTATAAGACAAAAATAATGTGCCATTCCGAGCTGTGATTTCTAGTAGCGCTCTAAGGACACCACGGCATAAAGGTACCTAAAATCTCAATACGATATGGAGTTAGTCACTGGATAACATATGTTCTAAGGAGCCTTATGTTAACTAGCTATTTCCCCTCCCCTTATCTTTAAATCTGGTAAAAATTCTTCTTTGGTTCTGAGTGGGCTCTCGGTGTGTTTGTGTATGTGCACATGTGTAGACACTTTCATGCATTTTAAGGTGGTAAATGAACCAATTTATGTGTTTACATAGCTCTAGCTATGCATACACATTTAAATGGGTTGGCTGAGTTCCAAACCCTGGTGTCTCAAGCACTAAACCACCAGGAAAGCATCCTATATGTTGACGATGATAGAGACTGGGCAAGGCAGTAGCAATAAAATGAAGCTGTCAGCCATTGCAAATGGACCAAGATAGAAGTCACATGACTAAACTACTCCTGCACCAGACTGCCTCTGATATATTTTATTCCAAATTCAATCTATTATTCAGAAGAGTTGAGAGAGCAATAATTTAAATGCTGAAATAATCAATTCCATAACACATTAATAGAAGCTACAGTCAAACTTCGACACGCCACAGACTGAACTGGAATCTTGGCAGTAGCCCTAGGGCCACGCCTAATTTGCATTACATTTACATAAAACTGTAAATCAAGACTACATGAACACAGCTCAAATATTTGTTAGCGCTAAGATCTTTCCTGATAGATGGATTGAAACTGCTGGTGGTTTGATTTCCAGTGCAATAAAATTGTGTAGCTGATCAGCTTTATTCTCATCCTGCAATTATGGAGAAAGGGGCCCAAGAGAGCTATGGTTTGGGGGTATGTATATGCCATCTAGGGATTCTACTCTGTAAAACGATGACTCAAACATGCCCTTGGAAACCCCAATCTGGAAGCCGACTGTCCCCAATGACTTTGCAAAGGCTTAGCACTGGATTTGCTCCCAAGTAACATGCCATTAAATGGATATGCAAATTATGGAGAAGGTTGGCCAGCTGAGATGATGTCAAAGTCTCTGAGAATTTGCATATATATTTTAAATGTACTTTTGTGAACCAGAATTAGTGATATTCTTTTGGCTGAAGAAAGATAAGGGCAAGTCTTGAATTTAGCCAAAGAGCCAAGGTAACAAGCTGAACTTCATATAGTTGCAAGCATTTTGTGTGCTCTTATATCTCTGTTTTAACTTCTTGCAAGAGCTGTGGCCCTTGCTGTGCACTTTACCACTCAGGGCCAAGGGAACCCATTCCTACCAAGGACATAGACTGGCTAGGATACTCTACAGATTCTGCTTAGTCCTCTCATTTTAAGTCTATCCTTAGAAAGAAAATAGATTCTAAGCACAATAATATATTTTAAATTGTTTTGCTTTCTTTCTCTCCCCACCCAGGAAGGATTTGACAAATATTCTGTGCATTGTGATTATTATACCTTCCTCACCTAACCTGACCCGCCTAACCCATTTTTCTTACCTTGAACAATCAAGTAAACTTGGGAGGTCTTGGGCTCATGCTGTGTCTGAACTGAGCAAGTATAGGAACCCTCATCGTAGACATCCACCTTCTGGATTCGGAGGCTGTATTCCAGAGAATGGCGCTTTTCCAGTTCCACCCGGGGGTCCAGAGACCACTTGTCATGTCCAGCGAAAATGATACCAGAACGGTTCAACCAAGCCACCTTCGAGTTCTTATCATCTACGACACACCTGGCAGAGAAGAATAACAGCATTAGAGCCGTAAACATCACTGAATCTACATTCATTCTCCAAACGACCAGACTTAAATAGAACAATAAAAAAATAATTATTTCAAAGGTGAAATAATTACTGCCATGTCATTTTTATATGCTTATGTGTTCCCACAGTTTCTCCTTTAAGATATGATTCCCATCATGGTCTCATAGGAAAACTCAGTAAATTGGAATAAATTAATTCATAAAACTCATCATCTGTATCCAGAGACGGCATAATGTCCAGGGTCATAAAAGCTTCTGTGTGGTCATCTAAGACACCATGGTGGGTCTCTACTCACTGGGAACAAAGCAGTAAGAAGGTCATAAAAATGTCAGAGAAGACACAAGTTACCCAAGTTACAAGTGCATCCACCCTGAGACCAGAAGAACTAGATGGTGCCTGGCTACCAGGGAGCAGGCTCCTAGGTAGAATGGGAGAAAAATGTAGAGTGGAACACACATACTTATAGAATATCTTTGAAAAGAAGTCAACTAAGCTGGAACAGTAGAAAATCGAGGGCTCCACGAGACCCTCTTTAAAACCCAGAGACAATGAGATCCCCTGGAGATCACCTCTTTAGTGAAGTAGCAGAGCGAGTGGTGCACAAGATAGAGGATAGTATCCATAAGATTGATGTCCTATGTGAAAGCTACTGATACGCAGTTATTTGATCATTCATTTTCTTTTCTTTTTGTCTAGGAAAAGATCATTCCTACTCAATAAGCCTAAATTTTAAGTTTGAGATTTAGCCAATGGACATAGTGTCCCTTTTACTGAATCTTTAACTGCACTTAGTTTTTTTCATAGGTGGTGGAGATAAGAATCATAACACACCTCACTATGAGAACAAAAGGGCAACAATTACTCCAGAGCAAAGTTGAGACTATAGGGGAGGAGATTGAGAACTGGGAATAGAACACATTGACCAGAAACACAATGTTGGCACACTGTGATATATAAAACTAATGTGATTGAACAACTGTGTGGAAATTGTCAGTTGGCTACTTAACTTGCTGAGTACACATTCACCGAAGACACCATAAAATACTGTTTATAAAAAGATAGAATTGACAGCTAGTAGATGAACGCCATTCTATTAGACTCCATCCAGCTGTAAACAATCTGAGTATGATGCACATTGTTGTTGTCATTGAGTTGGTTATGATTCATAGCAACCAGAATGTCATCATTACAATGGTTCCTCCACCTCAGTTCATTGCTGCAGCCACAGTGTCACTCTATTTCATTGAAGGCTCCAAGTATGTTGTCCTTCTCCAGGGACTGGTCTCCCCTGACACCCTGTCCAAAGTATGTAAAACGAAGTCTCACCATCCTTGCTTCTAAAGAGCACTCTGGCCTTACTTCTTCCAAGACAGATCAGTTTCCCCTTTTAGCAGTTCATGGTACTTTCAATATTCTTCTTCAGCAGCACAATTCAAATGTATCAATTCTTCTTAGTTCTTCCTTAACCAGTTACCAACTTTCACATGCATATGAAGCAAGGGGAAATTCCATGGTTTGGGTCAGGCACATCTTAGTACTCAAAAAACATCCTTGCTTCTCAGTACTCCACAGAGGTCTTGCGCAGCAGATTTACCTAATGCAACACATCTTCTGATCTCTTGACTGCTGCTTCCTTGAGCATTCATTGTGGATGCAAGCAAGACAAAATCCTTGACAACTTCAAACCTTTCAGCATTTATCATGATATTACTTATGGGTCCCATTGTAAGAATCCTGATCTTTACATTGAGTCTTAATCGATATCGAAGGCTGCAATCCTTAATCTCCATTAGCAAGTGCTTCAAGTCCTCTTCACTTTCCACAAGTAAGGTTATGTTACCTGCATATCACAGGTGATTAGAAAGCTTTCCCCCAGTCCTGATGCCACATTTTTCTTCATATAATCCAGCTTCTCTGATGATTTTCTCAGCATGCAGACTGACCAAGTATGGTGAGAACACACAACCCTGATACACACCTTTCCTGTTTTTAAACCACTCAGTAACACACTGCCTCTTGATCCATGCACAAGTTCATCATGAGCACAATGAAAAGTTCGGGGATTCCCATTCTTCTCAAAGTTGTCCTTATTTCTTTTGTTTCTTTGTTTGATCCCCCTGTCAAATGCTTTTGCATAATCAATAAAACACAAGTAAACATCTTTCAGTATTCTCTGCTTTGAGCCATGATCCATCTGACATCAACAATGATATTCCTTGTTCCACAATCTCTTCTGTATCCAGTCTGAACTTTTGGTAGTTTCCTGTCTATGTACTTCTGATCATTGGATGATCTTCAGCAAAATTTTACTTGCTTGTAAAATCGATGCTATTTTTCTATAACTTCAGCATTCTGTTGGGTCAGCTTTCTTTGGAATGGCACAGATATGGATCTCTTCCATTCAGTTGGCCACGAAGTTATCATCCAAATTTCCTGGTACAGACCAAAGAGAGCTTCCAGTGCTTTATCAGTTTGATGAAATGCTTCGATGGGTAGTCCATCAATTCCCCGAAGCCTCATTTTTGGCTAATGCATTCAGGGCCACTTGAACTTCTTCTTTCAGCACCATTGGTTCTTGCTTATAGGCTATCTCCTGAAATTATGGACTAGCTCTTTTGTGTACCGTGACTCTGTGCATTCATCCTGTCTTCTCTTGATGCTTCCTGCATCAAACAATGCAGGTAAATAGCATTCATTGATAATTTTACTATCTACCAGATCCTCTTCTTTCTGTCTGGGAAAAGATCATTCACATAGAACCCTATCTTGCCTAACTTTTCGCTTTGAGATTTAGCCAATTGATAAGATGCCACATTTAGTCAGAATGGAACTGTATAACTATTCTTTCATAAGTATGATCTGATAGTTTCTGTGATGGTGATATGATTACAGTCCATTTCTATAGTAATTCGAGCATATTTTAGAGTTTGTGCCGATCCATGCACGTTCAGAATGCTCACTCCCAGGAATGAGTAATGTATGAGCACTGTCACAGATCCCTGTAAATGTACAGCAGCATGTCAAGGGATCCATGCAAGCATCATCTGACATCAATCTGGTTCCAGCCACAGAGGGCAACAGGTTGTCTACTGGTGTAGCCTGCATTTCTGGCTACATTAGCATGAATTCCACCTTTTATGGAAGAAAGAGAAAATTAATATTAAGGTTCCTATTTCAAGAGAGGCGAACGAGGAATGCTTATTTGAATACTACTTATTTTATAAACTTAAAAAGGAGCATTATCTCAGAAAAAAAAGTGGGGACATTTTTTTCCGGGTTAATGGAAAAGGGGTAAATATTTCAAGGAAGTGCTGTTTCTTCTTCGATTGCAGGAGGATTCTGGCAAAGGAAAAGCATAAACAACACTCTCCCTCTTCCTTTGGCAAGTTAGAGGTCTGCTCCACAGGGAGATTGTCCCACACCTGCTTCACAGCCGCAGAGCCAGCTGTTCAGCACTGTGGGGTGTGAGGGGGTGGACAGAGGAGCCAAGAGCAGCACAGCAGAACAATTAAAATAGCCTGTTCCTTCTTCCATCCAAACCAAGTCAAATCCAGGTTTTCACTCAGGTCCAGATAGCCAGGCATAGATAGCCCACGCCCATACATAATCAGGAAATTGATGTTTAACCCACACTTTGGCTAGCACTTGAATCCAACCGGTCTCTCTCCTAAGAAGACAGGAGGGGTCAAGTTCATAACTCAGACCTCACTACGGCACAAAGGTCCACTTTATCCCACTCTTTTTATGTGGTGTTTGTAGTTGATTTGGAGTGAGAATTTCATTTAATGAGTTTATTGCCAAGATCTTCACGTTGTATTTTCTTTTCCACCTATTTGTTTTCATAGACATAGCTAAAGGCATCAGTATCTTTAGTTCTCATAAGTGGAATCTCTGCCATGTAGATATTGTTAGTTTTTGCTAAAAAAAAAAAAAAAAAAAAGGAAAAAACCTCAGCCAACCCCTGACAGCATTGCACTTCAGGATAGATAATGAAATGTTCTATTTGCAAAGAAAGCATGTCATTTCACTTGCCATGTACAGCATAGTAGACCCTATGATTACCTGGCTCAAAATAGCCAATACCAGCTTATGTTCTTATTATTTCCCAGACTATTGATCTTCAAGTGTTCATTTTGTTTTTGATAACTTTCAAGTTTCCTAAATTCATACTTCATACCTCCTTCTTTCTGATTAGTCATCTATATGTGTAGCTCTGTATTTTCTCATTTTAAGTCATGTCAATCAGAAAATGAAGGTCCTGAAAGCTGTAATCCTTTCTTGTGGGAACATTTTAAAGAAAATAAAATCTCATTAAAAACACTCACAAAATGTGTGTGAGAGGGGAAAGGGCGCACCCTCTAGAACTCATAGTGCTTATACAACTCATTTTAAAAGTGATTTAATCATGGGGGACGGGTAATGATTTTATAGCTCCTCTTGATGTGATTGAATGATTGAATTGTGTGATATGTGAATTAAGAGCCAATAAAACTGTTAAAAATTAAAAAAAAATACGAAAAGCACACACAGAGACCCTTGTGCATTTTCTCTATACTCCCTTCCCAAGTACTCTGTTACACTGACTGCATAAAGAAACCATGGTTGGTGAGTGGGGTCCATGAAAACACAGGGATAATGCAGACTCACATTTTTCCTACATCTATCAGAAAATGAATGAACTTATGTAGCCATCGAAGACAGCCACCTGCTGTCATAGGTGCAAGATTAAAGATTATTCCATCCTAGTGCCCTAACCTTCTGGCCTCCCATATTAGATCAACCTACTGATTTTTGAAGCATGATGAATTCTTTCATCTCTCCATATCTTTGCTCATCTCTTTCCTGCCACTTAAAAAAAGACTTCAGCTATGCTCTTGTTCTCTTTGTTGGTATCCAATTCATCCTTCCGGACTCCTCTGCAAGGCTCCCTCTCTAGCCTGTCTCTCAACAATGTCATGTCCTTTCACTTG